TACAAAACCTGTGTCTGGCCAGTCACTGGGGAAAAACGACCTAGTCGTGCGATTCCTTAAGGGAGCTCGGAGGCTGAACCCTCCCAGACCTCCTTCAGTCCCGGTGTGGGACCTTTCTACGGTTTTGGAAGCCATGAAAGGTGCCCCGTTCGAGCCAATCCATTTGTCAGACATGAAGCATCTGTCTTTCAAAACGGTGTTTCTTTTGGCTCTCGCTTCAGTGAAGTGCATAGGGGACTTACAAGCGCTTTCAGTAAGCGCGTCATGTATGGAGTTTGGGCCTAATGACTCAAAAGTCATACTCAAACCAAGGCACGGGTACGTTCCCAAATCCCTCAACACACCGTTCAGGGCCCAGGTTATTTCCCTGTGCGCTCTCTTGGTTCATGATGAGGAGGAGGATGCGAGTCTCCTTTGCCCTGTCAGGGCACTGAGAGCTTATGTGTCCCGCTCGTCTGTCTTCAGACAGACCGAGCAGCTCTTCGTTTTGTTTGGCGGACGCTCCAAGGGACTGGCCGCATCAAAACAGAGCCTATCCAGATGGGTAGTCGACGCCATAGCACTGGCTTACACTTCTAAGGGCCTGCAGTGTCCTTTGGGTGTCAGAGCGCACTCCACGAGAGGCGTGGCCTCGTCGTGGGCGTGGTATAGTGGGGTTACCTTGCAAGATATCTGTACGGCCGCAGGCTGGGCCTCGCCGTCTACATTTATAAGGTTTTATAACCTAGAGGTTCCCGCCTTACAAGCCAAGCTTCTGTCGGTATAGAATTCAGTGCTATCTGCCCCGCTGTACCGGCCCAGATGCTGAGTTTTGCTTGTGCATCGCTCACTGAGCGATAAAACAGCTCCATGGGTGTTGAATAACCCATACTGTTACCCAGTTCAGGCTGAACACGTTCAGCCTGTCTGTGTGAAACACTGTTAACATAACTAGCTCCTGTAGGATGCTATTTCATGGGGAATGATGCTTGCAGCCTCTCTTCTCCGACTCTCTGTGAGTCTATGGTGATTATGCACTACATGAGCCCTGGGCTACTGCCCTTGGGACTTTGGTGTCGGATCCCAGTACGCACGGCGTCTTGCATTGTGTTCCCCATAGCGTAAGATATTACGCAGTACGAGAGATACTCTCGTAAGAGAACGTACTCGGTTACTAACGTAACCTCGGTTCTCTCTAGAGAGGGAACGAGTACTGCGTATCTTGCCGTGCATACACAGCTCTGGTTCGCTTCGGCGATGAAAACCAGTGTACCAGCCTTATCGAGCTATATTTATAGGGCGAGACCACGCCCTTTCTGGCGGGACGTGACGAAATGGGCGCGAAATGCCCCCATTGGATATGGTGTCACGCAGTGCCTCTCTCGATAGGCTGCTGCTGTTATATAGGCGCGTGAGCCGTCCTGCCTATGTCTGCATGCTGCTGCACAGCGTTTTACATTAATTCAAAATTAAGGATAACTTTTGGCTTCAATATCTCGTGGAAAAGAGGTTTTCCCCATAGCGTAAGATATTACGCAGTACTTGTTCCCTCTCTAGAGAGAACCGAGGTTACGTTAGTAACCGAGTACTTTATCGTGCGTTCATATGCGCGTGCACGAAATGAAACGCGCATTTTTCAAGCAGAAATATGTGGAGACCAGACATACTGTACAATACATGCACGTGAATGATGGCACTCCCAATCAAAGTACACATTGTACGTTTAAAACAAGACACTGGTTATCTAGTCTCAGTGTTAAAAACTCTAAACAACGGCACTAATTATGCAAGATAGAAAGCAATGTATTGACAATTTGACATTGATTGACTATTGATTTATAGGCTATATTGAATTTAAAATGTTGATTAGCTGGACATACTGGTCAATATGGATGCACATCCCTCAGTAAATAATAACCATAAATCAAGAATTGCTTCAACATGCATAATAATAAATAAAACAATCATACTGATGCCAAAAATACCCAGGCTGTAGAGAGAACCAAAGTTAATCCCAAAAGCCAAAGCTCAGGGTTATAATTTATTATTTTCTTCTTATTTATGTTTACGTTAATATTCACTTGTTATCTTAACATTCTATAGAAAATACTCTATTCAATAAATATTGTTTGTTTGAGCCTCATTCTGTTCTATATTGTTGTACTTATTCTTTGACTGTTTTGTTTAAAGGAGGGAGGATTGTATTGGGAGCACTGAAGTGTCAGGTGTGACTGTGTGGCAATGGCAAATGGTTTACATAGCTCACGACATCACAGGTCAGGTAGAGGCCCCTTAGCAGAATTTTGCTTAGGGCCCCAGGGGGAGGTCAGGATCGGCACTGGGTTTAGCAGTCGATTCTGTTCCCTACCGGAATTCCTGTTCCCTTTACGCAATCATACTACAAATCATGCGTAGTTGCCCGTAGCCTACCATAACAACTGAATACGAGCAAGAAGCACAACTTAATGTACGGGAAGCCAAAAGGTTAAAGTCAAGTCAAGTCACCTTTATTTATATAGCGCTTTTTACAATACAGATTGTATCAAAGCGCTTCACAGTGATAACATGAGAACAATATAACAAAGTTTGTTTCTAAAAGAAAATTGCGTCAACGTCCACCTTAAGTAAGGCAGATCAATAATATTATTGAATATTAAATGTCCCCAACTAAGCAAGCCAAAAGCCAAGGCAACAAAGGATTAAAAAAGGATTGTATTTTTCCCCCAAATCTAAGCGTTGTTTTTTTTTATTACAATCGAGTTTTTCATTCAATCCAGATTTCAGGTCAGAGCAACTGCCCCTCAAAATTCCTGTGCACGTCCCTGATTAGACTGATTTAAAAGACATAAATTATATTATCAAACTTAGTACAGAATAGCAGATGAGCACAGAATATGACGAAAGAAAGCAAATTTGTGTTCAGTGCAAATAAACCAGCTGCCCGTGTTTTATAAATAATGTATAACGAATTGTGTTTTTTTTTTTTTTTATAACTGTTGGTCCATTAAGCCTCATTAAGCGTTTTCTTGGTTTTCTATGAGAGGAAATGCTTAACGTACAATTAAACGAGTTGCGTTCATTTTCTGCTCAATTGCTTTTCTGTATGCTTTATTTATGGTGTTTCCTGAGTTTGGTCTTTTAATACCACTGGCTTAATTAAACGTGTTGCGTTCATATTCTGTGCTCATCTGCTTTTTTGTAGTATGCGTTATTGTGTTTACTAAGTTTGATAATATCAGAATTATGTCTTTTAAATCAGTCTAATGCATTAAGCCATGTTAGCGTTTCAGAACATCCACGAGGAGGCGGGTTTCGTGACATCATAGGCGCCAACCAATAAAACGGCTCCTTCGAACACCCCCGCTCCCGCCCCCTTTCCGCTTCCGTTGGGGTGAATGCTCTCTGCCCACGCAAGGTCTCTCGCTCGCTCTACGCGGTATAAATAGTCGATCACGAGTGGCTCAACAGGTAGATCTGTAGATAAACTCATCTTTAAGGCATTTGACCGGCCGGGTTGACACTTCAGCGTGAGAAATCGGGAGTGTGGCGTGTGAAACCAATCAAATGCGGGTGTCTCACGGCCAATGCGTGAGAGTTGGCAGCTCTGCTGAGGTACAAGTGCACAAGTTAGTTTTGCGGTCTCTTATATCGCGAAAAGAGTAGCAAAAGTCAAGGCGCGAAATTTGAACTTGCAGTGACAGATTTGAGAAGTTGCAAGTGCCAATTTGAGGTTGTACTGCGAATTTGAATGTTAGAAGAAGTGCAAATTTGTATTACAAGTTTGTGTCTGTCGTTGTATCTTTGTGAATGGCATTTTACACATTTGTGACTGCTTGTCTGCAGCTTCAGATTCAGAATACAGGTTTGTGACTATTGTCTGCGAGTGCAAATCTCAACGTTCAAGTTCAGATTTTTATTTTACAGGTTTTCACATCGGAGCTGTGAGTGTAAATGTTCACATACAAGTACGAATGTTTATTGTACAAGTTCTCAAATTCACATCTACGTGCTCTCGAGTTTACCTACTTACCTTAATATAATAACCTTAGCTGTGAGCTATCCCTATTTTCTTACACACACACACACACACACACAGTTAACATGCGGGTTTACATTATATTCATTACATTTGCACTCAAGGAAATGTGTCAATTACTTAAGTCACTCAATAGGCTTTATGCACAGCTTCACTACTTCCTGAACTTCAGCCAGCCCTTTGTTTCCTGTCTGTCATTATTGGACAAACTGATTAATCCAGGTGTGCCTGATTATTGTTACTGAGGCCAGGCACACCTGGATTAATCAGTTTGTCCAATAATGACAGACAGGAAACAAAGGGCTGGCTGAAGTTCAGGAAGTAGTGAAGCTGTGCATAAAGCCTATTAGCACAAGTTTGTTTTTTCTTTGTAACATAAATTCTACACTCAATGCAAGATGCAATCAATGACAATAATTGTGCATCACCACTTGACAGTCAAATTTACACTTTAAGCTTGATATGAAGGCCAAAGTGTAAATTCAGTAATCATTGCATTGTTTCTAAATGACGATTTGCACCTGGATAATCTCGAGTGATTGTAAGTGTGATGATCATCTGCTAAATGAGCAACAACGACCACAATTCACTCCTTCAGTCAGTGAAGCTCCCACAGCCGTTCATGAGAGTTTAAATGCTGGGGAATATTCCCATCTTCCCACAGGAGAAGAAGCAAGCAGGAGGAATTACTCCAGGAGAAACTACGGACATACTATTGTAAAGATGGAGATTAAGGAAGAACCCTGCAGAATAAAAGATGAAGATACAGAGGAACGAATAGGTTGGTGTTTTCCTTCATTCTCTTTAATGACTGATGAGGAACATTAAGATGAAAACTGACATATAAAAATAACATCTAAAACTAGATACTAGTAGACTCAGGAGTAAACTGGATTTGTGCAAAATTGAGATTTTGAATAATGCTTATTTTTGTTTCTCATTTATCCTTTTATTTAATTATGGGAATTTGTTTATTTTAGACCTGATGGAAGTGAATGAAGACAAACTGCATCAGTTTAAAAAACCTCATTATTTCACAAATGAAGATGGAAATGCAGTTGTTTCAAAGACTGAAGAGAATTTCACACAGAAACAAGCTGGAAAATCTGGAGTCGAAGGATCTTTAACCTGTTCTGAGTGTGGTAAGAGTTTCATATATAAATCATATCTGAACACACACATGATGATTCACACTGGAGAAAAGCCTTATACATGCACTCAGTGTGGAAAGAGTTTCAATCGCAAAAACACTCTCAATGATCACATGAGGTTTCACACTGGAGAAAAAACGTTCACATGCTCTCAGTGTGGAAAGAGTTTCACTCAGAAAGGCTCTCTCAGTGATCATCTGCGCCTTCACTCTGGAGTGAGATCATTCAGCTGTGATCAGTGTGATAAAACATTTGTTTTTGAATCAGGCTTAAGAAAACACCTTAATGTTCATTCTGCTGTGAAGCCTCACGTTTGTTCTGTGGAAAGAGTTTTTCACATCTTGCATCTTTAAAAGAGCATGAGCGTATTCATACTGGTGTGAGACCTTATGTGTGCTCTGACTGTGAAAAGACCTGCACTTCATCCAGCAACTTAAAATCACACCAGAGAGTTCACACTGGAGAGAAACCGTACAAGTGTTCACACTGTGGAAAGAGTTTCTCTCAGGCAGGACACCTAAAAAATCATCAACATGCATTGAGAACATATTGAACTTTATTGTTTATTTTATTTACATATTGTACACTTTATTGGATTGAATCAGTCTCTGCACATTGTGAAAATGTGAGAATTAAAAATGAATAAAACTTGTGATTTATTTAGGTATAATGACCACATTGATTGATAATGAATAGATTTAATTTAGTTTTCATTAAATCAAGTGGTTTAACATTGTATTTCAGCATTGCTAATGGACCAGTATAGTAAACACTAATTCTTTTTGGGAAAAAAATGTGTATGTATATTTAAAGAGGCGATTCCTCTCATAATATGGACTCTGAAAAACACATCACTAAGACAAGATGAAATAGATGCTTGTTTTACAGCTGCTATCTATTTATGAAATAAGGTCATTTAGGCTCTTACATTAGCTATATGGTTACATGTGTTATATTTTGACAAACAATTTTGTCCAAAAAAGTAATGAAAATTAACTTTTTTTTAGCAGATTTTGTGTACTAGTTGAAATTCATGAAACAGTTTAACTGAATTAATTTGCTATGTTTATCAGACTAATTTTATTGGGAGAAATCTATCAGGGGCCGAATGTATAAAGCCGCTCAGAGTAACATTTTAGTCTTTAGTCTGTCAAAATTCTTAGAATTACATAATTCTACTCTTATTCCTAAACTTAATGAAGATATGTTTAATGAAATTAAGACATTTCGGTCCCTCCATCGACAGCCTATTCAACTACCACTTCCAAAGCCACGGAAAGGTATAAAGGAAATCAAAAGTAATCCATGTGACTCTAGTGGTTTAACTTTTTTTTATGACAATTTTAACCACTTTATTTACAAAATATTAATCTTCGATGCACGTTCATGCACCAACATCTGCTCTCATATCAACATGCACAAGTTGTAATGTTCTCATGAAAGCATGTTGGAAATTATTATTATTATTTTTTTTTTTTTGCTACAAACACAGCACTTGCGTTGTTTAACCAAATTGATGTTAAAGGGTTAGTTCACCCAAAAATGAAAATTAAGTCATTAATTACTCACCCCCATGCTGTACCAACCCCGTAAGACCTTCGTTCATCTTCGGAACACAAATGAAGATATTTTTGATTAAATCTGAGAGCTGGATCACTGCTACATAGGCTGCCTAAGGGACTGACACTTGACGGCCCAGAAAGTCATTAAAGAAAATGTTTAAATGTTTCATGTGGCTACAGTGGCTCCACTATAAGTTTATCAAGCGACGAGAATACTTTTTGTGCGGAAAAAAAACTAAAATAACGACTTTATTCGACTATTCCATTGCTTCCTTGTGGGCCTGAGACGAGAGTTCAAGAGATTTCCAGGACGCATGCGCGAGAACTGACACTCTTCTTCTACTACACAGCGCGCGTCTTACAAGCAGAGGAAGACGCGTGCTGTACATAGTAGTAGAAGAAGAGTGTCAGTTCTCGCGCATGCGTCCTGGAAATCTCTTGAACTCTCGTCTCAGGCCCACAAGGAAGCAATGGAATAGTCGAATAAAGTCGTTATTTTAGTTTTTTTTCCGCACAAAAAGTATTCTCGTCGCTTGATAAACTTATAGTGGAGCCACTGTAGCCACATGAAACATTTAAACATTTTCTTTAATGACTTTCTGGGCCGTCAAGTGTCAGTCCCTTAGGCAGCCTATGTAGCAGTGATCCAGCTCTCAGATTTAATCAAAAATATCTTCATTTGTGTTCCGAAGATGAACGAAGGTCTTACGGGGTTGGTACAGCATGGGGGTGAGTAATTAATGACTTAATTTTCATTTTTGGGTGAACTAACCCTTTAAACCACTGGAGTCGCATGGAGTACTTTGATGATGTACCTTTATACCTTTCTGGGGCTTGAAGGTGGTAATTGCGTAGACTGTCAATGGAGGGACAGAAAGCTATCAGATTTCATAAAAAATATCTTCATTTGTGTTGTGAAGATGAAAAATTCTTACATGTTTGGAACGAGGGTGAGTAATTAATGACAGAATTTTCATTTTGGGTGATTAAGAATAAATTAAGACAGGCCCCTTGAGAAATCTCACTAAATAGTCGGAAGAATCGGTGTTCCCTTCTTGTGGCTGTGATGTTGGACAGGTGATGGGCAGAGATTTCCCAATCAGTGGAGTCTAAAATTAAACAGCAAGAAAACATCTACCTGTCAAATCATTAAAACAATTGGTTTGAAAACTCATTTTAAGAAAAAAAAAAAATGTTTTTTTTTAAATTACTTTTGTAAAGTAATTTGACTGGGCAAATTCAAAATGAGTGTTACGAAACACAGAAAATCTAGTTATACCAAATCGCAACAAAGCTATGTTTATTTTTTTATGTTTGTGCCCATGATTCTCTCATATGTTATCGGTTAAATCTTATACCATCACCAGGTTCTAGTCTGTAACGCTGCAGTCTTTAAACACCAAGCCTGGTTAGCCTTAGCCACTCGGTGCATCATAGAAATGCTCCTAGCAAACACAAATAGCTAAATCAATACATTTACACATAAAAAGCATAACCACCAAACATCAACCAAAAGTTAATCTGATAAGTAAATTTTGCATAAATATTTAATCTGAAAGAATGTTACCCATTCTAAGAAAATTGGTCCTCCAAATAAGGAAATAAAGTGACACTTTCACGTGCATTGTTGGTCTGCAGTTTGTGGAGTTGTTTTTCAGTTATACGTTAGGTGTGCTGGTAAACGAGAGTAAAAGATAGTTTGAGGATAAATACATACTTTTAATATTTGCACATCACAAATATTGTCATAAAACTTGTATTGTAATGAGTTAAAACACTTACTATATGTTTTTACTGTTAAAAGCAAAATCCGTGTCAGCACTGCGTCACGAGTCAAAGAAGATGCAGGCCTAGGCGATATTATATGAAAATATCAAAGGATTCGCAAACAGAAATAGTTTTAATTGCTTTCTTATTATGGGAATGAAAGATAGTCTTGATATATAATTGGATTTCTTTTTCAAGAACCAAAAACAAAGGTTGGGTTTTATTGTACTTACATTTATGTATATGGAATTTAGCAAAAATTAAAATTAAATTTATAATATAGTACTCTTTCCTTTTATTTGAGGGAATATTATTAAAACCAAATATAACATTTTCTAAACACAAAGAAAAAGTGGGGTCAATGTTGTCAATTATAAATCTAGACAAATCTTTCCAAAAATGTTTAACATGAGCGCAGTGCCAAAATAAATGAAACAAGGTTTCAGCCAATGTATTGCAAAAAGAACAGTTCAGATCAATATCCTTTTTAAATTTAACAAGAAAATTATTTACTGGGTAGTACCTGTGTAAGATTTTGAAACTTATTTCCTTTATTTTATTTACCAATAAATATTTGTTTGGTAAAGTCCAGATGGCCTTCCAAAACAAACCTTGAACCATTCTATTCCAATAACCAATGCAGTTTGGCCTGGTGACAATGTCTTTTTGAAATAACGAACGAATAATTTTATTAACATTTACGACTCCAGGTGCAAAACAAATTTTTCCAATTACAGTATCAAATAAATCAAAGGAGGAAGGGGGCGCAATACTGGTTTGGGTATTAGCTCTGAATAATGCAAAGACCCCTGTAGGGATCGCATCCCTGGAATTTTATGGAAATCTAGAAACTCAGAGTAAGTTAGCAGCATACCTTCTTGATTTAGTAATTGATCTACTCGTATTATACCTGCTAAAAACCATCTTTCAAAAAATAAGGTTTTATGTTTAAATAATAAATTATAGTTGTTCCAAATTAAATATCTATGGGGTAAAAAATTATGCTTATATAAAAGGGACCAAGCAAGCAACATTTGTTTGTGAAAGCAAGACAAATTTAGAGGGATTTTGTCAATTTTATAATTGCAAATCAGGAGAAAATCAAGATTACCTACTCTGGAGAAAACAAAACTGGGTATGAAATTCCAAAGGGAATTTGGATTTAGAATGAAATGTCTAATCCAATTAATTTTAAAAACATTATTTAAAGTACTAAAATCAAGGAAGTTCAAACCACCTGATTCATAAGTGTTCATTATTATAGATTTCCTAATATAATGAGTTTTGTTTCTCCAAAGAAAATTAAATAAGGCAGAATCAATAGCTTTACACATCACATTAGAAACAGCGAGTGAAGTCGCAGTATAGACTAATCTTGACAGTCCCTCGGCTTTACATAACAGAACTCTACCTTTTAGAGCTAAATCCCTCAAAAGCCAGTGATTCAGCTTTGCTTTGGTCTTCTGGAGAATGGGATCAAAATTTATCTTACATCTAGATTTTTGGTCTTTCGAAATAACAATCCCCAAATATGTCACTGTCTCCTTTACTGGGATATTAGCAATTTGTTGTAAATGACAGTCTTTTACAGATAACAGTTCACATTTGTTAATATTTAAGTAAAGGCCGGAAGCTTTAGAAAAGGCATCTACTACTTTAAGAGCTACTGGGACTTGATGTTGATCTTTCAGGAACAGTGCAGTATCGTCTGCTAACTGGGATATTATAATATCCCGCAATAGATATACCTTTTAATTGGCTTGATTTAATATGAATATTCATAAGCTGAGTGCAAAACAAGAAGAGATAAGGGGAGATGGGACAACCTTGCCTTATACCACGTTTTAAATAAAATCTAGAGGATGAACCACATTTAAGTTTAATAGAACAGTTTGCGTTCCTATACATTGTTTGTATAGCTTTACAGAAAAAGTGTCCAAAGCCAAATTTTTGTAAAGACCTAAAAATGAAAGCATGCTCCACCGTATCGAAGGCTTTATAGAAATCTAAGAAAAGAATAAATCCATCATCTGTACTTAAATGTGAATAGTCCAACACGTCTAGGACTAATCTTATATTATTTGAAATATGTCTTTTCTTTAGGAAGCCAGATTGAGCCTCATCTATAAGGGGGTCCATAACTGATTTTATTCTATTTGCAAAGACTAAGGCAAATATCTTATAATCATTGTTTAAAAGAGAGATTGGTCTCCAATTATCTAAT